TCGAGGGCGCGGGGAGGGAGCGCGAAGATGAGGATCAGGGGTGTCACCAGGGGGCTCAGCAGCTCCTCCAGGATGAAAACCTGCGGGGGGGCAGTGGGATCTGGGGGCGTCCCGGAGCAGGGGGTCCCAAACTGGGAAGTGCTGGGGTGGTATGTCCCGGGTGGGGGGGGCCAGGGCAGTGGGTCCTGGGGAGGGGAGACCTTGGGCAGAGCTACCTCGGGGTGAAGGAGTCCCAGGGTGGGGGATTCCAAAGYGGGAAGCTCCTGGGATGGGGAGTGTCCCAAGAGTGGGGAGTCTTGGGGCAGGAGGGTCCCAATGCGGTGGATACCAGGGTAGGGGATCCCGGGAAAGCAAGCTCCTGGGGGTGGGGAGTACCAGGGCACGACATTGGGGCAGGGCTCTTAYGGCAAGGGGTTCCTGGAGCAGGGGGTCCCAGGGCTGAGTGGTCCAGGGTGAAGATCCTGATGTTGGGGGTCCAGGGTTGGGAAGTCCCAGTCTGTGGGGTCGTGGGGGTGGGGAGGATGGTCCCAGGGGAGTGGGGTCCTGGGGACAAGGGTCTCAGGGACTGAGGGGGCTGCACCCACCGCCTTGTACTGGAAGAGCTGCGCCATCTCTGCTCGTGTCTCTGCGCGGCCGGCGCGGCCCTGCCAGTGCTCGGGCAGGTAATGAACGTGTGCCAGGACCCGCTGCAGCAGCTGCTCAGGGCACCACACCGCGTGCTCGTCCGGGATGAAGGACCTGGAGGGGCACAGGCAGGATCCCACCTGAGCCCCACCCTGCCCTGCCTGCCCCAGCACGGYACCGCGCAGAGCCCACCTGGCTCCCCAACCGCCAATCCAGCGCCCGCCTGGCCACGGTGACCACCGGGACCCGCCCGGCCGCAGTGCCTGCAGCACCCACCTGGCCACCGTGACCACGAGCCCCAGCAGCGTGATGGCTGTCAGGATGTGCTGCACCGTCAGCACGTCCTCGTCGTACACGGTGAGCACGATGAGCACRGCCAGCACGGAGCCGGCGAAGAAGCCAACATGGCGAGCCAGCACGGCCAGCAGCGGGCTGCTGAACGAGTCCATGTACTTGGTGGCCGGCGCGTGGCCACGGCTCAGCCGCGCCTGCAGCTCGTGGCCCAGCTCGTTGAAATGGCGAAGGTAGTGGCGGGCGTAGAGCGACCAGCGGCGCGCGCCCAGGCTGCCCGGCGCCCGCTTCAGCCCCTCGGCGTAGCTGAAGAAGGCGAGGAGCAGGCGCCAGCCCAGCACGCAGGGGCACARTGCCAGGTTGGCCACCCCCAGCAGCACGGCCGCCCGCGCCAGCCCCCGCGCCAGCGCCTGTCGYGCGCCCGCCCGCTTCACCTGCGGCCGCAGGCTCCAGGTGTTCTGGAAGAGCGCAGCCGGGCCGCGGAACAGCAGCAGCTCCAGGTTGAACTGGAGGCCACGCGTAAGGAAGACGACAGGGCCGAGCAGCGGGAGGTGGAAGCGCACGGGCAGCAGGGATTTGTTGACCATGGCCACGGTGTAGTTGCGGAAGCGCAGGATGCGGTGGTGGATGTCCAGCTCTGTCAGCTCCCGGCGTGGCACACACAGGGGCTGACGCCGCTGCAGCGCCAGCAGCCGGGCCTGCACCGACTGCCAGCTGTGGTTACACAGCTCCTCCTGTGACAACGGACGGCGATTGGCACCGGCACCCCGTGGCGCGGCTCAGTGTCACATTGCGCCTCACGGCATGGTCCGAGCCCCGGTGCCCCCTGCCAGCCCCTCCCCAGCCCCCCTCACCGCGGGGATGCCAAGCGCTCGGATGTAGAAACTCCGGATCTCCCAGTAGCCCACGAGGCGCCGCAGTGCCGTGACCAGGCGGCACAGCCAGACTGCRCCCGCCAGCACCAGCAGGAACAGGAGCCACCCCGTGCCACGGAGCCTGCGGAAACACGGGTRTCATCAGTGCCACCAACCCTCCCGTGGCCAATGGCCAACCATTGCCACAGAGCCTGCCAAGAAGACAGAGGCATCACCAGCACCACTGGGACCGCCCCCATGGCCACACCGGTGCCAGCAGAACCAAAAKGCAACTGCTGACATGAAGTCTGTGGGGACACAAGTGTCAGCAGTGCCAACAAACCCTTCACAGACATCAGCCACCCAGTGCCATGGAGCCTGCAGAAACACAGGTGTCACCAGTGTCACCAACCCCCTCATGGCTGTCACAGAGCCTGCTGGGAAGACATGTCATCCACAGCACCAGGACCCCATGCAGCCATGCCAGCAGCACCTTCATCCCCAAAAAGCCACACTAGGGGCACTGGGACCTCTGCACYGCCATGCAGGCACCAACAGGAGCAGTAGCCACCCACTGCCACTGACCCTTTGGGGGCATCTGTGCCACCCACACCCCTGAAATCCCATATGTCACCCACAGCACYGGGACCCCTGCACAGCTCCCCGGTGTCCCCCCATGTCCCCCAGCCCACCTGCGGGCACACTGCGGGGCGGGCAGCACGGCRTCAGGCAGGGTCACCTTGGCGCGCTCAGGGACGTGGCTGTGGTTGAGGGGGCGGGTGGCAAACAGGACGTCGTAGTCAACACAGCACAGCAGGAACGTGCTGAAGGTGACGACGAACAGGAACTGCCTGGGGGGACAGGGGGTCAGTGGGACCCCCGTGTCACAGCCACGTGGCACCATACAGTGACAATGTGGCACCACTTACACCAGCTCGAGGATGTCCGAGAGCAGGACRCAAGCAAAGCCATTCCTCTGGTGGAAGTGGTAGATGTGTGGGGGGGTTAAGGAGATTATGAGTGGGTGATGGRCCCCCCGTGTCCACCCCCAGCTCCAGAGTCACCCTGTGTTCCCCCATGTCCCCCCCAGTGCCACCAGGGGCTGTGCCAGGATATCTTGGTGAAGAAACTGTCCAGGTCCTTGATGTGGTGCCACGAGTCTGGGGAGAAAAACACGGAGGAGTCAGGTGGGAATGTGGTACCACTCCCCAGCTGGGACCCTCAAGCCGCACCCAGGACCCAGAAACACCAACCTGGGACCCCCACCCGGGACTCAGAAACMCCCACCAGAGACCCCCAAACAGCCTATGGAAACCCTGGACCCCCCACCAGATGGGACCCCAGTACCCGTCGGCCCTTCAGTGACGTGCAGCAGCAGCTGCTCCTCATCCTCCTCGCCGGGGGGCGAGTCCTCCTCACAATCCTCCAGCCGCCGGTATTCCCGGTACTCCCGGTCCTCCTCTTCCTGCCCCGCCATCACCTGCCGGGGACACCCGTCGGCACCTGCCACCGCCATGGGGCCGCCGTGGGGCGGGGGGGGCAGATGTGGGGCACCGGAAATGCCACTGAGGTGCCGCAGCGCCACCCGCGTGCCCCGAATTCGGGTGGCCTGAGCTGGCCCCGRCCGCGGGCAGGTGACACCGCAGGTAACACCACAGGTGCCACCGGCCTGTCCTGTCCCACCGGCCGGGCCAGTGTCAGAGCCTGCCGTGACCCTGGAGGACTTCTCGGGGCTCTCCAGAAGGGACCCCCTTCATGGCCCGAC